CACACACACATACTGTCACACACACACACACATGAACACACACACACACACACTCGTTGTCTGCAATAGGACAAAGACTGCTTTGATTCTGAACCTATTCATCTGCGTGGAATTGGGGCTGTTGCAGGGAAATTCTATAACACACACACACACACACACACACACACACGCACACACGCACACACGCACACCATCACACACACACGCACACACAAACAACCATTTCGTCAAAATGGACATTTTTCTATTTTTTGAACGCAATTGAAACTGAGTTTTTTCAACTCTTTTGGCCGAAAACTCGTCTAAATTTTGCTGCTTCTGAGGGTCCTGCGTTTTTAGAACGCTTGAGGCCAGATACATCCAAGGGGGACCACCTGGATGTATCTGGTCTCAAGCTAGGCCCACAAACATACAGGGGGTCCAGCGTTTTACGAACGCCGGACCCTCAAGAGCAGCAAGTTTTCGGCCGAAAAAGTTGAAAAAACTTAGTTTCAATTTCGTTCAAAAAATAAAAAATCATTTAAAAATGTCCATTTTGTCATGATTTTAGTTTCAATTTCGTTCAAAAAATAAAAAACGTCCATCTTGTCATGATTTTGACGAAATGGTAGTTCCTACATGCACACTGTCACACATGCTGTCACACACACACACGCACACACACGCACACACATGCACACACACTCTTTTGTTGGACCTGGGGTCTGAAGCTGGGCACAGTTAACACGCACAGACAGGGTCCCTGTTACTGTTTGGGGCAATTTTCCTATGTCTGCCTCTTTCAGGGCATACTCATAGTAGCACTTTCTTAAATGTACCTGACTGCAATTACAACCGGACTTGGATGAATCTGGCTGCAATCACGTTCAGAGTTAAGTAGAAAACGTCCTAGTGTAAGTATGCCCGGAGATCCTTTTTTTCCCCTGACAGTGTGAGATGTTCTCTATTGGAAAAGGCTGGGAAACGAGTAAAAGAAACTTTCTTCGGGACATCATGGGCCCTGCGGGAGGTTAAAAAAACAAAAAAAAGCAAAGGAAATGCCCGACATAACATGTTCAGTTCTGAAAAAAAGAAAAGGCTAGCAACAATAAAAGGTAAAATATGTGCGATGATGCCCTTTAAAGATTCCGTATTTCTCTATATGGCCATAAAACAGAGGGGCATAGTGACGTGCCATCGAGACAGCAGACAGATATGGATTGGGCCCTTTGTCTGTTCCATATGCCCCAAGCTGGCCCCTTCAGGTGGAACTCCAAATCCCAGTACTTCTGGTCATTTGGACTCTTGGTACCAAATTTTCCATATACCACCCTACTGGTACCATGGATGTTTAAAGGTTGCCTCTTCTGCCATGTGAAGTTCAATAATAACTTAAGTTTGTGTAGTCGGGACTGGTTCTCTCTCTCTCTCTATATATATATATATACATATATCTATTTGCGACGATATATATATATACTATTTGACGATATATATATATAATATATCTATTTGACGATATATATACTTTGATTTTGGTTAAGGTGGATTATCACTTACAGTGTAATCAGTGAGGGGATTCTGCAGACTGTTGAGGGTTCAGCCTCCTTATGAGTCGGTGAAACTCCGACGAAACAGTTTGTCAAAGCCCCTCGTTTGTTGTCCTCTTCTCCCTCTCTGCCTACGGTTTACCGGGCAGTTCTGTTTGTGACGATATATATATATACTGACGAGTCGGTGAAACTCCGACGAAACAGTTTGTCACAGCCCCTCGTTTGTTGTCCTCTTCTCTCTCTGTGCCTACGGTTTTACCGGGCAGTTCTATTTGTGACGATATATACATATATATATATATATTGACGATATATATATATATCGTCAGAACTGCCCTGTAAACCGTAGGCAGAGAGGGAGAAGAGGACAACAAACGAGGGGCTGTGACAAACTGTTTCGTCGGAGTTATATACATATATATTGTGCTCATGTGTGCACTCAAGGTACAGTTCTTCAAAAAAAAAGATTGACACGCCTGGTGACCGCATGGTCACTAGATTGAACACGCTGAACGGATCTTTCTCGATTCATTCTATGTTGACCTTGAAATGTGTGTGTGTGTGTGTGTGTGTGTGTGTGTGTGAGAGAGAGAGAGAGAGAGAGAGAGAGAGAGAGAGAGAGAGAGAGNTGTGTGTGTGTGTGTGTGTGTGAGAGAGAGAGAGAGAGAGAGAGAGAGAGAGAGAGAGAGAGAGAGAGAGAGAGAGAGAGAGAGAGAGCACTTCACGAGTAGCAGTGTCCCAAGTCAGTCCCAAGTCCATTGTACCATAGTACCCGTCCCAAACTTCCCCCAAAGGTAAATTACTTAGGCCCATGGGTTTAGTCTACTGTGTACAATCAGTCCCAATGTACCTTGCCCAGGAAAGTCAGCGAACATTGTGGATGCATAGAAGCCTGGACGCAGCCTGCAAGTGAGGGGTACCATCTGGAAAGTCTGAGACTAGGAATGCACTGCAATTTATGTAGAATGAGCATCCTGAAAACCCACTCTTGCCGTCCTGGTGACAAATGTGTCGCAAACCCAAGGACATATGCGTGTACATCACCAATTAGTGGTAGGCCATACTGACTGTGATCAGACACTGCGTCCCACATTCTTTGCCCTGGTACACCTCGTAGGCTTGCACCATATGGGTTGCAGCACATCCGTGCACAGGCAGTACAATCAATTCAGACTTACAACTCTGGATTTGTCTTATGCCGAACCTGCAGGTGCGCTTCCATGAGAAATTCCACGACAAGGGTGTTTACAACTGCAAGAAGGACCTTTCTTACATATTTTACAATGGCTACGCGATCTATGTGGAGTTTGGGGGAATCCATGACGATTGGATTGACGTTATGGTATCGTCGCCCGGAGTTTCTGTTGAAGAAGCAGCCAAATGGGTTGACGAGAACATCTTGAGAGCCATCTACCAACTTTGCAGCGAGCCGACTGGTCTCCCAGGTGTGGATCTGGTGACGAAAATTCTGCGTCCCCGCTGTTTGACAACGTCTCCAATTGTTCCACGCAGGTACCGGAGTGTCGATCAGACTGTCACAGAAGAAAAACTGATCGAGGAGATGGAGGCGGTGGAGAGGGAGGGATATAATTGCAATCATTCCTGGCCTTCCATTTGCGATGAGAAGGGCCAGGAAATTGTTCCACAATCGTGTGATGATCCTATGATGCTGATCAGACCGAAAACACTGGAGAGACACCTATCCATTACGAAGCATGAGCTTCACAAAGTTTGTGACAGCTTCGACGTAGTCGAGGGGAGCTCGGGACAAAGACGGCGAGAATCTGTTTGCAAAGACAGCACTGCTAGCTTCGATGACCATTCTGAGGCACCTTTTGAATGTGAACAGCCCACAGGCAACATTCAAGAGTTGGGCGATTTGGTGACGAGGGGTGTTCGCTATCTTGCTGAAAGAGTTGACCGAAATTTCCGGTTCATCGGTGAGCTGAAAGAAGAAGTGAAGAATCTGAGGAAGGAGCAGAGTAATGCGTTTACAAGACTCTGCAATGCCCTGTCTAGCATTTCCATTTTCGCCATTGAGCAGCACAGTCATCGCCTCCCTCATCGTGTTTACATCACGGAGAGGAAACCTGGCTTTCGCCAGAAGCTGAGTTTTCTGATTGGCTTGAAGCCAGTAGAGCTGCATCTCATGTGCGAATCCAAAGACCGCTGCCATGTTGTAGATGGCCAGGAGGGGAAGAGGTTGTGTTTTCGGAACGAGGAGAGGCGGCATTTGTGGACTCTCTTCAAGTGGACAATTCTCGCTGTGACTGTGCTGTTGAAAACCGGCTGTGCAATTTCCATGGGCATTTATCAGCTTGTGCCGGACTTGGGCGATTTGGCGAACTGGACAAGCTTTGTGATCGGAACAGTGGGGAACGCTGGTCTGGAATTTGTGGACCTGGAAGACCTCAAGCGGAGAATGAATAACGTTGGAAAGGATATGTTCAAGGATGATGGTCCGGAAGATGGTGTGAAGCGTCAGAAAGCGATGGACTGGCTGGAGGGAATCCTGGAAGGTGGGGCAACTGAGATCATACGGGAAAGATTTGGCCTCACAAGAGTGAAGTACAGAGACACCGGCTCGGTTGCGTGGATTTGTACCCCCTGCCTTGAGAAGAGCCATCTGGCTGTGGAGCTATTTTAGGTGAGTCCATGCAACCGAACGAATAGGCACATGAATCCTACCTGCGGTGCACAAGTGTGCCGTGTGCCGAAGTGGTGTGCGGCCAGGAAAAGTATTAAGGGAAATTTCGGAACACTCTTTTTTCCCCCTTTTTTTAACGCAAACATCCTGGGACGTCCTGTGGTCCTGGGCCGATGGAACACAAGCTTAGTTTTTTTTTTTTTTTTGTCGTAAATTCAGCAGCCAAGATCCTGGGATATTGTTCCTGCCAAAAGCCCGCTTGGAACACGTTTTCGCACCACAAACTTTAAAAGGTAGTTTCCTGGAATCTCTCCAAGCGCTCTGGGAGCTTGCGATACAGACTGTGCACCACAAGTGCACACCACAAACTTTAAGGTATGTAGTATGTACTATGTTTGTATCATTTGGAATATAACATTAATTTATGTATTTGTTTTCCAGACCAAGGTGCTTGTGTGACTCAAAGGGGTCAAAGCACTGTATTTGTGAAGAATCTTAAACTTTAAGCTGTTATAGAGTAGGTGTTGGGAGGAGGATCTGGTCTCAGCCAGATTGCTTCAATGTAAGGCCTCATGAGCCTCTCAGCGGGCAGCAGAGGGCCAGTTGGCCCTGAACTTGGACGAGAAGAAGTAGAGGCCCGGTTAGGCAAACACAGGGACTCTGCAAGGCTGTGAAAGGCAGTCCTGACCAGCTGAACAGGATCCTGAGATTCTCACATTTTCAGAAAAGACCACGGCAGGTCGAACTTCATTCGGTATGCAGAATGCAGCCAAGCTCCCAGTGTACTAACTTCTACGTGAAGCGGCTCTAGGAGTGGAGGGCAGGACGTAGCACTCTCCCAGCATCAGCTATAACTACACTGAGACAGAAGACTGGTGCCATAACCTTGAAGCACCGGTACACCGCACATCGGCCTGCGGGTGTCAGCACACAAAACCCACACCACTTCAGAGGCCGCCGATTTTGTTTTTCAACGGCGCCCCACACCGCGCGGCCCCTCCGAGTTTTGCTTGTGGTGACAAAAGCTTTCTGCAAGGCTGGGGCCGTGTACTTGCGGTTTGAGGTGCTGTGGTGTAGGCGGGAGGTTGCACTAAAGGGGAGATCCTTGGAGATAGGGGAAGTAGGGGGAAGGCTGTGGAGGAGAACGGAATCGGCGGGAAGGCTGTGGAGGAGAGTGGAATCGGCGAGCCACTGACGTGGTGGTCGCCACGAAGAGCAATAATAGGATATGTTCTTTGAGCGGGCATCGGTGAGAGTAGCACGGTACTCTGTTCCCCTGTACTATGGTGTTGCGCAGGCTAGCCCGGAGGGCAGAGTAGATGGTCATGCCTGCATGTAGAGAGACCAACGAGGACTGAGAACTGTTATTGCTGGGGCTGTGTTCGTCATTTGGGGGAGAGAAGAGGGGTTTTCACCGTCTAATAGAATTCAATGACGACTCGTCTTCTGCTGGTGTGAAAAAGCTTCGTTGTTTCCGCTCCTAGTCTGGCCGCCATATGCATGCTGCCTGGTCAAGAAAGTTCCTGGACAATGTCATTGTGATTTGAGTTTCTCCTAGTATGATTTTGTAGCAATTTGGCATTTCGTGGCTCCCCATGACTGCGCTACGCACTGGCCGGGAGCTGAAGTTGCTGTGCACAATGACGTTAAGCGGCAGTCTGATTCGTCTTCTTCTTCATTCTTCTTCTTCGTCTTCTTCTTCTTCTTCATTCTTCTTCTTCTTTGCGGCATTGTATCTCTTTGTGAATTTGCGAATTGAAATCGGCCAGGGCGGTAAACGTTAGCAAGCAAGATAAGTATGCATCGCCCTATCTTACCTGTCTCATTGTCTTGACTGCAATTCCTTAAAACTTAAGATTTGTTTTCTTCTGTCCTCATGAAATTGCATTTCAGTTTACAGTGGTGATTATCAAGCCTTTGTCTGTCTTTTCACTAACAGGTGTTTTTCACTGTCTATGTTCAGGTATGATGCTGTGCTTGTGACATACTACTGAGAGGATGGTACACATAGTTTCATGTGGTGAAATAAACACGAAAAGAGAAAACAGCATAATTTTGAAAGACGAAGACAAATTCCTTTCTCTTCTCTTTTAATACAAAAAAGACAATGCTCCAAATTGAATCTATTTGTGGGGAGAAGCGCATTGAAAGCATTCACGTTTGTTGCCTGCTGTGATTCTATCCCAGACCCAACCCTACGTGGTTCCCGTTGACTGAGCATGCAGAGATTTGAACCTGGAACCCGACCTGGGGGTGTTCTACAGAGATTAGCCATTTTGTGCTTGTCGAGTCCTCATCCCACGACCTGCACCTGCACAAACTCGTAGCAAAGCCCTTACTACCTTCTTCCCCCGAATACAACGTACGGTCATTATTGCTGTATCTAGACTGAAAGATGCCTCAAATACAGCTATAATGACCGTACGTTGTATTCGGGGGAAGAAGGTAGTACCATTCGTAGGCTGTGAATAGAGGTAGGACGTCCAGCACGTTGCACGGGAAAGTCACAACCCAGGCCTGATGCCAGAAGGGTACCAGTACCCAAGGCCAAGTAACAAAACTCCTGACAGTGTGGAAGTTGAATCGTCATGATTCTGGTGTGTTGAAGCTGGAGGACATTCTACAACAAGAGGAACAGCACTACTATTTGACCTGCTGAACGAAGGAGAAGGGGCAGCCATAGCTGCGGTGCAAGGACAACTGTGTGTGTAGGCCGTAGCAGCGTGAGTGAAGTGTGTGCGTGCCCGCCGCTGTGTGCGTCTATGCGCGCTATGCTGTAAGAGAGAGAGAGAGAGAGAGAGAGAGACCAAGAGAGCAGTAGTGTTGACAAGGATCGGCACATCAGCGCACTGACGTGCAGTGGCTGACCGGGTCCTTGGGAACACGGGAGGCATCCCTGTTATGGGCAGAGTCTGTGGCTCATGAAGACTTGCGTCCAACTCTGGTTTGTGGATTTGAAGCTTCGTGGGAGTTCCACTTTTTTAATGGACTGTGGGACTGTGTTTGACCTGCCGTCTCGAATTTGCAAGCGTCAGCGGGCATAATAATATTATCATAATGCGGATGCTGTCGCATAACAACACGCTGGGAACTGGGCCCAGCATCCCATATGAAAATATACAGCACAATTGAAATACCGGGGCCATCACCCCGCTTTGGCTGAGACAAGTGGAATATGCGTAGACAATTATACTGATCGATTGGGATTTTGTTTTTGGAATTTAATTTAGCTGAACCATTGAGAAGAACATCGGCCGGGGGAAATTTTTACCCAATGCCAAGATACCCAAGTGTTACCCAACAGACCAAGACAAAGACAAAGACAAAATGATGATCTCCATTTTCAACAAAATGCCAAAATGGAGGATTCTTTTCATAACATGAGCTGAGCTCAGGTTGAGTGAATTGCTTGAGAGTTGTGTTAAGCTGCCAGGACATGGCCAAACTGGCAACTTGAGAAACATGAGAGGCTGGACCAAAATGGCTGGAGCCTGGCAGTGCCAGCGAAAACGAAAAAGAGAAAGTTATGCTGCCTTCAAGTTGTACAAAAGAGGCCCAGATGTACTGGTGGTTTTTTAAGTGGGAGGTGTGAGTGCTGCTCAGACTTGAGAGGCATGCCAGCTCAGACGGTTCTGGTGGGGGATGGGCGGGTGAATGAGAAGAGCCGAATGCATATGATGATGTGGAGATCACAATCATGCGGGAGAAGTACACATGCATGCGCTGAATGCACTGAATGTCAGAAAATGCAGTATGGGGGACCGGGGGGTCCTGGCTGCAACATTGTCCTGTTGCTACGTCAAATACGTCCTGTGTAATCTTCTCTGCACAGGATGGACCTGACTAGGTTCCATGGATGATGTTCACCTGAGCAGGCTGTCAGTCAAAGAGGGGAAAAAGAGAGACGTAAGAGAGATGGATCAGTGGATTCAGCCCTGACTGTGTGCTCAATTGCTATAAATAAATGTCCATTTTGTGCTTGTCATAGCCGCTGCGCTGTTCTGCAAATGCAACCTTCTATTGATTGAAGTGGTCAAGGTGATCATGTTGTGTAGCGGACCTCTGGTAGGTTGGCCTGTGAGACCAGCCCCTTGGCCTGTTCTCACAGGCCTGTGCTGTATTCGGGGGCAGTCTAGTCCAGTCCAGTCCAGTCCAGGCCGGTACCACTGTCGGTACCAGCCAGTCCAGTCCAGTCCTTCAGTCCGCTGGGGTATACCCCAGCCAGTGTCTGTTTTCATCATCATTCCACACTTGCACATTTCGGAGTACGTGCGTTGGAGTCTTGTGTGGGGAGCTGCGCTGTGCCATCTCGCTCCCCCCCTTCTTCCTCCATCTCCATCTCAGTCCAGGCGGAGCACCACACCTGGTGGGTCCGCCACATGTTGTTAGCGTCAGAACAGCCTGTCTTTGCAGGTTAACAATCAGGCAAATTAATAATTATTAGTATGCGAAATTGTTGTGGTCCGATAACTAAGTTAACTGATTTGTTTATGAATGAACTATCCACTGTAGTTGTTAACCGATTGGGGGTTAAGAGTCCAGGTGGTATTTGGCATGAGTATATAATAGTTGAATTGACAGAGATATTTTACAGTGTTTACACCCAATTGTTAGGTTCTCATTAGTGCAAGGCAGTGATTAATTCCGTTGTACTGATTAGCACTATAATTTACTGAATGAGCAAAGAGGGGGGTTGGGTGGCTTGGCCGAGAGCTAGGAAGAGGCCTGGTCTCTACTGGTGCTCAGAAACCGAGGAATAGCCGAGACCATGTTCCTGACGGCAGCAGAAGGGTCAGGGGGCCAGGCAGGCCCAAGTGCCTCAGGATCTTTCAGGGGTACTAAGTCATGGACAGGGAGTCCAGCCAGATCCAGACCGATTACTGGAGAAGGGCCGACAAACGGCCACGGCACACCAGCACAAAGATCCGCAAAATATGACGGAGTCTCTAGCTTGCACAGCATCAGCTGCTTCCGTATCAGAGAGACGGGACAACCTTTGACGCTTACCCAAGTATTACACTGGCCGTAAGGAGGACAGAATGCCAAGCTCACGGAACTAGAACAGAAGAAGAGAAAGGCAAGCGAGTCAAAAAAGATGGACTTAGTACACGACGAGGAAACACCGGGGTGTGCATCTGGCATCATCACCACCACTCCCCCCCCCCCCCCCCCCCCCCACCGCCAATGGGAACAAATAAGAGGGTCCAAGATGATAGATGATGGTTGCCAGCAAGGGACTAGTGGTGGCTTTGTACTGGGGTCCCCTGAGGTGAGAAGTGCGGAGAAAAAAGAGAAAACAACGAGTGAGGGGGCGAATTACAACCGATCTACACGTATCACACAGTTAAAGCACCAGTACATGGGCACCTGGGCCGCGGGCCTGACACCTCAAATTCTGGAGGTGGAAAATGAAAATGCGACCGGCGATCGAATTTATCAACGGCGGGCCCAGCGTTTGACGTTTCCGCCTCGTTTTCTTGTGGCGATAAGTTTCGGACTGCAAGGTTGGGCCATGTTTAACAATCACCGAACCGCCACTGTCCGCCACCCATAGCTTGGGGACAAGAGTGCTGCCACCGTATCAACAAGCCAGGGGTGATTTCAGGAACCTGGGAATCTTTTCCCTCAACGACTGCTGAGTGGGATATGCTGCTTAGGGCTGGTGCCTGCAATCTGTCATTCCATCAAAAAATGCCAAAGGGGTGATTATCTTGATTGTAGACACTGAGGTAGGACAGAGAGTTCGCAGCGCCTTAACCCGGTCGTCTTTTTTGTCGTCTTTTTAAGGAAGGTTTTTGTCGGTTAAGCGGGGTTTAGAGGGCGTCGACAGGTGCGTGGGAAGGGTGCTGTCAAGGAGGTGAAAACAACCAGTAGGCCGAGCGGTCGTCTCAGAGCTTGGAGGCTCAGCGACCGCAACGGGTTGGGGAGGTTGCTCTTGTAACGACGTTGGTTGCCAAGAAATATGCAAAATGAGACTGAATCCACCGCTAGAACATGGAAAGATACATTGCCATCTCTGTTCTCTTTTTTGTGTTGTTTCCTTTTTGGGAAAGCGTCAAAATGCATGTGCAGCGTTGTGCAGTGGAGCGAGCGGGTCGATGCAAAGCAGACGGTTGGTGAGGCCGTGGACTCTGTGAAAACCGCGGTGGGTCACAATTTTATCGCGTGTAGCAGGGACTGAGGGTCTCATCCGACACTACATACGGTAAGTAAAAAATTGCAATATCGCGGATCCCACAGTGTCCCGAAGTCCTAGGCGGTTCCGTGAACTTAGGACACAAGTAGAAACGTTTGGCGTCGTGGCGCTCAAGGAATGAACGGCGCCGAAAAAGAACTAAGGAAAACGGCCGACTTTGCAAGAGAGGTCGGCCTGTACCCTGCTGCGAAAAAGAAGGGGTCTCTCTTTTGGTTTTGTTTTTTCCGTCACTCCTTCCTTTCGTCCGTTGATCCGCCACCCTCCCACATTATTGCGCCGCGATGCCCGTAAAAGGGCCATCCTTTTCGGAGTTGTGGGATGTGATTTTCCTTTCACGGTCCGATAGGAGCGGGCCCAGCTTTTTCGTTACTTTTACGAATTCCTGTTTCGTAAGTAGTGTCGGATGAGACCCTGAGAGTTCTTTTTTTCTTCTTTTTTTCTTTTGGTGCAGGGCTCGAATGTCGTCCTCTTACTCAGTTTGATTCCTGGTGCAATTGATTCGTCTACGCACTTCGGCGTGCGGGGTCCTGGTCCCATCAGCAAAGAGGATTCAATT